GCCCACTCCAAGATGGCGGTTAATTTGGAAGTTTTGCTTTGAGAATTGAGCATCATTTTGTAGAATTCATAATTTACTGGGAATCTATTCATCCTAAAATAGAATATATTGCTACAATTTGGCTTACAAGTCAGTTCTTGAAATATAGCATTGAATTGTCCCACAACTGCATCCCAGGATCTGTGGGCATGCAGCTGTTGTAGCAACATTCTTTGTCGTTATTAACTTCAGTGGAAACCATGACTTTATTTTCTTCCATCAAACACCATCAGATCTCCTTTAAGGTCACTCTGATTTTGCTTCTAGATATGGACTCTCTCCTCCCCTCCATCCTTTCTTTTAAAGTTTGTCCTTGTGCACCTGCCCCACGACTCATGAGATCCTCTGGTGACAGGATCCGGCCTCTTGCTATAGTAAAGGGGAAATTTGGTTATTTCAGCCAGATAGTTCCTATCAGTACTCTGCCCCAAGAGCTAACAGAAGCACAAATGCCACCTTGCTTCTGCTCTGGGATTTCCCAGGCGTACACACCAAAAAAGAAAACAGTAAGCAAGAAAATTAGTATTGTCTGCTGATAAAATAATGAGGTTAGAGAAGGCAAGCACATGTGTTTCTATCCCTGCTCTGTTCACAAATGGATGTCGACCGTCTGTAGATGGATAAACTGGTTGCAATTCAACTTTCTTTTCTACAAAATGCAGCAGTGGCCAGACGCACCTCAAAGGGACATCTTGCTGTAATCCTCATTTTCCAGAAAAGGAAAGAAGTGTACAATGAAAGCCATGTTAGAGCCTCCCACCTCTTGGCAGAAATGACTAGGAAAAAGCTCTGTTCACACAGTAGGAGTTATGCTAAGGGGTCACTCTGAATAAAATACTTCCTTCTGTAATATTTGGAATATACTTTATCAAGAAACCACGATATAAGAGAATGTGTGAGTTAGGTTAGAGTGTTTATGCTGGCTGTGGAATCTTGTGATGTGTGTGCTTAGACTATTGCTGTTAGCAGCGGTTGCTTGTGGGAAACAATACTGAGAATCAGGTAGGGAGCCAGTGGAAAAGCATCCTGTCAGCAGGAGAAGCTCAGGAGGTGAAGGAGGGAGGCCCAGGCCAAACCTTCCCATTCACTTTCACCTGCTGGCCAGACCAAAAGAAGGAACTTTAAATATCAGTGAAAAAATCTGTATTACTTTCCTTTTTTTCTCTTTATTTCATAAGTAACTTAACACAAAAAAGCAATAGGCTTGCCCACTGGCCCTGCCAACTCACAGCAAAGTCCACACAGAGAGGCTGGAAGTCGTCCCATTTGTCTTCTGGGCCTAAGTCACCTCTCAGTTCTCAGTTCTGTTGGGCACAAAACTTCTGCAAGACCTAAATTTCTGATCAGAAGGCATCTCTCCACCAGCAGCTGGGTGTGGTGGTGCATGTCTGTACTCCTAGTGCCTAGGAGGCTGAGGAAGGAGGATCGCTGCGAGTTCAAGGTCACCCTGGGTTACCTAGTGAGTTTAGGGCCAGTCTGAACTGCATGGTAAGAGCTTGTTTCAAAAAAACAAAGGAGCGAGACACACACATACACACACATGCACACACAGAGAGACACAGAGATAGAGAGAGACAGAGACTCACAGAGAGAGAGAGAGAGAGAGAGAGAGAGAGAGAGAGAGAGAGAGAGACTGGTGGGTGTGGGTGTGTGCAAGCAAGGCTAACCAGAAGTCCACTCCTAACTCCAAGACCATTTGGTATTTCTCATTAACCCTTTCTGCACTGAAAACCATTATTCTCATCTCCAACAAAGCCTTGGAAGAAGGTGAATTAGGCTCAAAGAGTCAAGCATATTGAAAATTGATAAATGACCCTCTGAAGTTTGTTCCACTCATGTGTGAAGATGGACATGAAGCATATTAGCCTTTATAAGCCAACAGGCATCAATGAGTAGAGGGAGAAGCAACACCCAACATTTGTAGAGCAGATTCCATATCCTTTCAAATCTTACCATTGTTTCAATGATGCTGTAGTTACAAGGCCACTCGGGACACCTCCCTGTGCACTGTCATCAGAGGATACTCTGGTCTTCACTGATTATATACTGATTGGTGACTCCAGTTGACCTCTCTCTTTCAATCATCAGAATTAAGAGGAGCTCAGTGGTCAGTTCCTCCCCCCTTCCTGGAAACCAGACAGCTAGTGTTAATATCTCTAGTTCTGTGAAGTGGAGTGAAACAAATGTCTCTCAGTGGGTTAAGTGCTTAGAACTTACCCAGCTCTGAGAATAAATCAAGCACACACCATTCCTGTGGTGAGTAGCTCTAGGGCTGATGGGGGTCATTTGACAGGACAACTTCTCACATCGAGTTAGACATAGGGAACATGAGATGAAATCTGAAAAAGTACCAGCTGTGGAAGGAACAACTGGGGGCTGGAGGGCTTTGTTCAGCAGAATAGAAACATGATTGGCTCTCATTGTCACTTTCTTATCTGAACACCCTTTGCTCCCCTCAGACCCAAGCACAAATCCTGGTGAGGTTGCACACAAATCAGCACAAAGGTGCTTGATAAATGCAGCTTGCATCCTTCCTCTCTCTGACCTGAAGAAAGCTTGACAGCCTGCTATTGGCATCCCAATATATTATTAACATCATCTTCTCAGACATTTGAGATTAAGTTGACCTTTGGCAAAGCCAAAAGGTCAGGTGAAAGGTGAAATTGCAAGTAAATGCTTGGCCAACAAAGCCTTTTTGGAACCTTCTGACAATTCCAAAGTGGAATGTAGGAGGTGGCCAAGATCCTCAGCTGTTTGAGTCCCACTCAAGGTCCAGTGTATCCTTTGTCTCGAGCCATCCTTATAAGTCTTCAGTTCGCCAGGCATGGTGACTCAAGCACTCTGGGACATTGAGACCGAAATTGAGTAACAGAGCAACTTAGCAAGACCCTATTTCAAACTGAAAAATAAGACTTCAACTCTCCAATAGCAGGCCTGCCCCTCTGCAGAGCACATTCCAGTCAGCTGCCCCTTGTACTCAGCATCCAGTAATCCTTACTTCCTGTCACACTGCCAACCTAAAACAAAAATCCCCGTGGCCCTCCAGGAGAGCATGGGCTTTCATATTGAGTTACACCAGGGAAATGCACTGTTGACTGCAGATCAAATTGCTTGATTGTCCCAGTAAGAATGCAGCAGGCCTGACAAGAGTCCTGGTGCTCAGTAATATGGCAGGCATACGTGGGAAGTTTAGCTCAAGGGATAGAGACACACTGAGAGATCCCTAGATGGGAGCCACCTCTGCAAGGCCAAATAGCTTCCCATTTGGTCCAGAAGATGTCTGGTAGCCCGTCCTCGTTTCTTTGTTGTTATTTTAAAGACATCAAGACCAACCCAAGGCAAAGATGAGGGCAGCGAAGTTCAGAAGATGGGCTCTGGGTTGGCTACATGAATTTAACATGTATGCTTAATGCCATCTATTTAGGAAGGGGATTAGATTCTGTGACTTCTTAGGCCCAAGCTGGAACATGGCAGTGAACAGTCCTGCTTAGGACCATCTTGTCCTAACTACACTTAAGTTTGACAGCACACTACCTGTCATGTCAGAGATGAATGACGGGTCCCCTCAGGACCCATCCAGGCCCTCCTTGCTTCTCTTAAGCTGAACTCCATCTGATGGCCCATCTCAGACTTCAGCCCTTGGCCTCTCTAGTAAACAGCTCTGCAAGCCCTGGGTATGCAGATCTCAGCCATGAACTTGAAACTTTCTCTCATGACCACTTCCTCAGACACCAGCACCACCCCAGAACTGTGCTGAGCAGGCATCTCCACACCTCCCCATTAGCTAGATTACCTTTTCATAAAAATTATCAAGACCTGTAGACCTTGACCCAAGTCTTGTTGGGCCTCATCTAGGGTAACATCTACTTAAGCCCAGGGCAGGTGAGGATTCTTGAGACTGCAGCTTCATCAATTTAATGATAGACCTACCTCTGCCCCACCTAGGAACTGATTCCCCAAGCTTCCTTTGCAGTGAGATGACTTCTCTCCCTTACCAGGGTTTTCCTTTTATTGCAGTACTGTGGATCAAACTCAGGATGTTGGGCTTGTCAGCTTGCCAAAATTTCTCTGAGTGTATTGTATAAAAAAAGACCCTGAGTACTGAACTCAGAAAGGCTTAGGTTCCCCATCTCTTTACTTTGTGATTTTGATCATACTAGTCTTCTATTTCCCTCTCTGGAAAAAAAAAAAAGCTAAGAATGCAAATCATGCATGTACCACGAGGATACAAGATGCTATGGATTCAATCTTTAGCACCCCCAAAGGCTCATGTGCTAATGGCTTGGTCCCCAGCTCTTGGCACTACTGGGAAATAGCAGAATGTTGAGGTGCAGCCTAGTGGAAGGTTACTGAGCATGGTCTTGAAGAGGATTCCTCCTCCTCCTCCTCCTCTTTCTCACCTCCTCCTCTCTCCCACCATGGGACTCAGGGTTGAAACCCCTGAACTGTGAGCTAAAATATATGTTCCCTTATTAGCTGATTATCTTTGGTATTTTGTCAGTGACAGAAGCTGGCTAACAAGTGGCGGCATGTTTTAGGTGGTTTGTGTAAGCGTTGAATCTTATACAGTTAATGAAAGGTCAGACTCCCGTTTGCTGGGAATTGAATGTGTGTCATTTCAATCTGCCTCGTACAAAGCCATGTTAGTTATTAACTCACCAAACAGTTCAGGGTATACACCCAAAGGTTGTACAAGCAGATACAACAGGATACAAAGCAGAATCCCACTGGGTCACAGTCACTTTCTACTTCAGTGCATCAGAATCTACAATGTGTGCTAGCTAACAACAATGACCTTACATAGCAGCAGTCAGAACATACAAAGCTGGTCTGAGCTGTACAAAGCTGCTGGGTATTTTTTTGCCTTTCTGTGAAATATTTTCCCTTGACACATTTATCCCAACCCCATGATGCATTCCCAGTCCTGATGGAGAACCACACTCATTACAATTAAGACAAAGTACTGGTTTATTCAGATGACTGACCAGTCACATTGGACAAAAGTTTTGGGCTTCATTTACATAATGTAAAAACATATATTTACATATTTTACAATAGTTGAAAATATACATCTATGGAAGAAAGATTCGTAAATGCATTTGAGATAAAACATACACAGTATGTTACCTGAATACACAAATGCTTTAAGGAAAATAGTTATAAGAATTACAAAAGTAGCATCACCAAGAATTTACAAAACTTTCCATCTTCTTAAAGGTCACTTTTCTCATCCTTTGGGATGTACAGAAGTTATGTGGTTTACACAGTTTTATCCACATTCAAAACATAATGTTTTAAATGTTTTAGGCATAGCATGTACAGTACAAAGTGTTTCCTTAGGAACATAACAAAAACTGTCACTAGTGACCTGCTGTCGGATGGCTCCGAATTAATCAGCCATTGTTAAGACACTAGTTAAGCTTATTGCTACAATATTCAAGTTGTTCTATTCACCCAAAATGTAATGAATTCAATTTATATTAGGATCTACCGATAAATTCTCAAAGAGTTATCACAGTATAGACACTACTATATACAAAATAGCTATCCCAACTTAATGAAAACCTCATAACTTAGAACCAAGAACAGTAATTTGAGACAAATATTTGTGATTGTGAGATTAAAATTTCAAAGTGCACAGTGACTGCAATCAGCAGCAGGGTGCTGAGTCCCGACGCCTGGGAAAGGAGAACCTTGAGACCTGGCAGATACCAGAATAGCTTCACAACTTAAATACACAGGGGCTCCCAGCAGGCACAGTCATATGTCATGGGAGCCCTCGCTGTCCAGGTAGAGCACATAATTCACTATCCAGTCACTGTGTAGAGCCTGAAGAGCCAGCTTCCAGCAGGTCAACACTATCTTTGCTTGGAGCAAGAAGCCCAACCCCTCAGCCATATTCCAGTGTTGGGGGACCCCGAACAAGATTGAAATAGCCAGCGAGGGCACCCAGGTCAATGTAGAGGGAGCGCTGTCTTCTGAGCGCCTCGGACTCCTCAGTGCTTCCTGTGCATGAAGAATCTGTAAAGGGAAACACAGGAAAAATAAAACAAATGACAAGGGACCCTGTCAAATAATAAGTACTCGTTCCTGTGGTTTTATTATAGATTGGTCCTTGAACACACGATGGGACAGTCTATGGAACACGACAGAGACCACAGAGTTCAGAGGGGAATCACCAAAGACAGGAAATGAGGCAGAGATTGTGGCATATATTCCAACAGCCCAGATGGATTTCTTAAATACAGAAGAATCAGACAAGAAGCAGAAAAATGCCAACAAGCATTCTAGGCTTGACATCATGGTCTGCATTAGGAATGTCACAGATGAGTAAGAACACGCAGCCAGGGGTCGTGGAATGCATATATTTTCCTACATTGAGACAATTCCTAGCTGGTAAAGTGATTTCCACCAGAGGAACATTAAAAATGTGAATCGATATCACACTCTATATTTAAACATACTGAGCAGCGCTGTGAGGCTTCCTACCAATGCCTGGGGACCTCACCACAACTGACTTAACACAACCCTACTTCGCCAACAAAGCTGCCACACTTAATTTGTTTTTAAAGCCAAACGATATTCTTTACTGCATATAAATGAGTCAGAGGCAATTTCTAATGACTGTATTGTACATATACTTGCGCTGAAAACGTGCCACAATATTGTGGTAGAACACAGAGGTTGTTTGTTTGTTTGTTTGGAGAAAGGCTGTTGCTGTGTTGCTGGACTGGCCTACATTCCTGAGCTCAGGTGACTCTCTGCCTCAGCTTCCCGAGTGCTGGGGCTACAAACGTGCACCATCACTCCCAGCTGCTGTTTCCCTTTCTCCTCTGTGCTTCTGCGGACCACCTCACAGAAGGGAGGTCAGGGATGCCATGCATGGCAGGGTGTCTTACCAGCAATGTTCTCCGGAAGCTCCAGCTCCTTCCTACTCAGCAGCCTCTTCCGCTCAAACAGGGCAGAGTCGAGGCTCTGGCAGCGTGGCTGGTCCTCTCTGGGGGGATTCAGGGCTTCGTGTTTGAGCAGGTCTGCAGCTCGTGGGCGGTGCTTTGGGTTCCGCTCCAGGGCAGCTTCTATCAGGTCTCTCATGCCGGGGCTGCAGTCACCTGCAATGTCTTCCAGTGGAGGCGCCTGCTTGTGGATCTGCCAATAAACCAGTTCTATTAGACGGCAGAGAGACCTAAATCCTCAGTGGAAGAGTGCTCCAGACCTAATGAGGGCCTCCCGCCACAGGAGCCACAGTAAGCGCAGGCTGTTGGGGCAGCAAGTTCCCCTCTGCTTCCTAGGGACACAGAGCTAGACCTACTTTTTGGTTTAATACTACAAAAAGTAGCTCCTAGGTCTGAAATCACCATGACAATTTTCTGCCTGAAGGTGGCCCTAAAGTCACTGCAGTAACAGGAAAGTGTTCCCAACACCAGTGAAACAGGAGCTCCATAGCATACTACAAGCCAGGCTGGCCTGGAGAAAAGTGGCATTATTTTTTAAGTGTTCAAAGAACATATGCAACTTCCCTAGCTGCTGGGTTTCGAGCATTCTGATGCCAGGCACTGGCAATTTATTATACATGCAGCATAACAGTATAGCACATAACGTGTATGCGATGCACACTAACACAGCCCTGTTTCCTTTGTCAGTATGGAGCTTCCTTCCATGTGGGAAGAACCTGCAGTTTCTCTCAGGGGTCACTCTCACTTTCACCCCATGTCAGGGTGGGTGTCCCAGAAAGCAGAGCAGCTCCTCCCCTCCAGCAGGTGGCACCCGCCCCACCCCTGAGCAGCACTTACTATGTACAGGTAGGAGGGGTAGGCTGAGCGGGGGTAGCGCTTCACCCAGGGTGGCGTGCCCGTCTGCATGTGGATAAGCGTGGCCCCCAGGCTATAGATGTCTGCTTTGGTGGAGTGGCCCCGGCACAGGATCACCTCCGGGCTCATGTAAATCTGAGGAAGATGAGAACCATCAGCCCGAGTCCCCTCATTTGTCTGCATTTCCATTTCCCCAATCAGCTTAGGAACTTGGTTCCTTCACCTTTGTTGTATTTATTGCGCACTTCAGCCCTTTAGGGAAAGAAGTCACTGGTGTGCTCCCTTAAACCAAGGAGAGCACTGAAGGCTGGGAAGTCAGCAGCAGCTTTGGACAGAGGGGTCCCTGCATCTGACCAAACACGTGTCTTTCCATAGGTTGAGTGGTAACTAACTGATGGCAGCCAAGGGCCTGGCACTCACACTGATTGCTTCTGTACACCCTGGCTGGGTACAGCTCATTTCCTTACAATGGCAATTCCTTTCATATTTAAGTGACACTACAGACATACTTTGTCTCGTCCGTCATTTAATGGCCAAACCTCTAGTTATCCACAGTGATAAAAGGTGGCAGAAACTACTGGGTGTTGACATGAATTGCCCAGAAAGGATGAATTTTAAAACTAAAGTGCAATGGTGAGAAAGTGATGTGAGTTCCTTCTACACACTGTCCTTCTGTGCCTACCTAGAGAGAGCCCAGTGACTGCATATCAAATGCCTACCATAATAATTAAGAGCGTACAAATTCTTGTTGGTTTCACTGGTTGATACCGAGGAAGTAGAGATAGTTTAAGAAACAGAGTTTCTATAAGTCCTTATTTGCAAACTTTAAAAGGAGATAGTAAGAACAAACACCAGTGACCAATAACCGGCCTGGTGAAGACAGACACATAGTAAATAATATTCTACTTATCAATACAAGTTGAACATCCCTGATCTACAAATTCCAAATCTCAAATCCAAAATCTGAAGTCTGTTGAGCCCTGACCAGACATCACAGTGGAAAATTCCACACCTGATCTCACATGACAGGACACAGTCCAGACACAGGTACATAGGCATGGTGACACACCTGTCTTTCTAACTACTTAGGAGGCTGAGGTAGGAAGCTCACTAGAGCCCAAGAGTTTGAGGCCAGCTTGAGCAATATAATGAGACTCTTGTCTTCTTAAGAAACAGAACAAAATGACAAACATTTTTAAAAATTGCATAAAATTACTTGAAGCTAAATGTATAATGTGCACATTAAATACACATTATGTATAAGCAAATTTGCAAAATCAGAAAAAAATTCAGAAGCCTACAATATATGATATTAAGTATTTAAGATAAGAGATATTCGATTTGCATTTAGCTTCAAAATTCAGTCATGCCGTTACTTGAATGTGGGGCAAAAGGTCAGTGTTCCCAGAAGATATTTCTGAGTAAGTAAGTAAAGAACTAGCTTACAACAACTGGGGAAATTGCCCAGTTTCCCCATCCTGACCCTGCTCAATTCCTTCCTACAACCCACTTCCGGACTGGCTTCCTTTCACTGTCAGCAAACAAACTAAGCTGAGCTCTTGTTCACAAACTTTCCCTGCAACCCAGCAGAGTAATTAGATCTTGAAGGATTCTCTTAATAAGTATACTCAGGAAGTTAAAACATGTAAGTACAGCACTGTACCCACCAGCCAGTAGTGATGTGCTGCACACTTAAAATTTTGGTTAACAGGGTAGATCTCATGCTAGGAGTTCTTAATACAACCATATAAAATCAAAAGAGGAAAAAAACAGAATGGACATTATCATCAATAGAGGTGCTTGCTCCCCATATAAAGATAGTTAAGCCAAGCAACAAGTACACTGTTAATAGAAGCAGGGGTAGCTACGTACAGGCGGCTCTGCAGACTCGATTCAATTGCACACCCGGGCTGTATTCAAGGACGGCAGAGGACAGGCCCTCCGTGAGTCCTACACCCACTGATGTGAGCACAGGAGCCAAGGAAATTGATCAGGGTCAAGTGCTTCTGAGAAAGGGAAAAGGATTGCCCTACATATCTGCATGTGCATGTGATAAGTAAATATTAACTTTTGGAAGGTAAGACCAAGATCAGAAGTAACAATTTTTTTAAAAAAAGTGATCATATTATCAAGTCATTCTAATTTGCTATTACCTTCATCTATCTCTTTGTGCCATGTAACTAAAACAAAGATAGGCCAAAAACAAGGTTACAACATAACACAGTAAACGCAAATGCTGAGAGGAGAAGGGTCAAAGACAGGCAACACAGGGAGGTACTATCCAGGGGGAACCAGAAATCGTGGTTGACTATGCAACAGCCATGTCCTCCTGTCCTAATAGGAGATGGATCTGCGTGGCTAGCTGTGAGTAAATATATCTTACTTGCTCTTTCAGTAGACAGAGTAAAAGCAAGCTTGTGCAAAGCTTTCATCAGTGACTTCACAATCTTGTCAGACTTCCCATTATTACCCTTAATCTGTGAACACTGCCCAGAGAGAGAGTGCAAGTTGCTCGCAGGCTGCATACCGTCACCAGAGCTGGTTCTGTGCTTCACACAAGGCAACTTGCACTAACTGAAATAACTTGACCTAAATAAATACTGTTCAAGGGTGAGATGTGTCATTATTTTTCATCCATGCACCCTGCTAGAGAATCCCAGAAAAGCCATGTCTTTCTCCAGCGTTGCAAAATGTGCAAGTCAACCAACCGCACTGCCAGGAAGTAGACGGTATTTTCCAACTCTAATACCATAAAGTTGCATCTCAAACTGGCTCCAGGAAAGGGTGGAATGTCATATATCTGGACCTTTGAACCCTGCCAAAGTGGTTCAAACATTTTCCAAAGAAAACAGGTCATAAGCATTAAGCCCTATTAGATGTTATGCTTTGGCAAAGAGTTCTTAAGATCTGAGAACTAAACATTCTTTCAAAAAACAAAACAAAAAAACGGTTGGCAGTTTTCTCTGAGTATTATTTTGTTCAAAGGCGATGATCAAGAAGCATTTCTCCCTTGCCAGGTGTGGTGGTGCATGCCTGTAATACTAGCTCTCGGTAAGCTGAGACAGGAGGATCACCACGAGTCCGAGGCCAGCCTGGGCCACACAGTGAGTTCAAGGCCATCATGAACTATATAGCAAGCCTCTGTCTCAAAAAAAAGAGGGAAACAAAGAACAAAACCACATTCTCAAGTTAAGTTGCAGGAGTATCAGCAAAATGAGGACAGATCCTGCTACCCAGCAAGCCTTTGCACTGCAAGGGTTACAAAAAAGCTTTTGGAATATTGCTTTGAAAGGATCTCACAGCTGAGTTCTGTGCAGCACCTCTGCTAGCTGCTACGGGCTGCCACTGGGTTGAACACCACAACTGACCTGGTAACCTCAAGGCAAACACAGCCAAGGACCCTGTGCCCACTTCAGATGGCACTATCAAGGGAGAGAGGGGAGGATGTACAGTGTCTCAGGCCAGTGAGAGGGGCCAGGTTACCTTCCCAGATACATCTACTCCTTGCCCAATACGATCTACTGTAATCCCAAATGCTGATCACTGAACGACTCAAGTAAATTTAGAAGAGATCCTTCCAGGGAAGAGGAATGGGGAAAGGCTGACCATCAGGCACTAAGCTGCAGTTAGATTAGCGTACGAAGTTCTGGTGTGCTGTGGCCCAGGATGGTGACAACAGACGCTGACTGGGTGTATCTCAAAAAGCCAGATTTTGCATTTTGAATATTTTCACCACAAAGAAGTAATGCTGTCTGGAGGAGACAGGTGTAACCTCACTACCTAGTAGATTCATGTATTGAAACTGTGTCAGTTATTCTGAAAAGTTTCACAACCCTTAGACTTTAGGTTCAGACTCAGGAAGAACAGAGATCAGGTCTGGGATCTGTCGGCTGCTGAGTAACTTCAGGTATTTTTAACTATTATAATCTCTTTGAGTTTATTTCCTTATTGTAAAATGGGAATAATATTATCTGCTACAGTACTTGTCTTCACCAGCAGAGTTGTTGTGGAGATGAAACAATGTAATTCATTTAAAGCGCTACATGTATTACTATAAAGTTAACTGCAATTCTATCCTCACTGTTACAGCTGAATCATGCACATGGATGTGCCTCACAGGAAACCTGTGGGGACCAAAGGCATCACAGATTTAGAGGGTTTCAGATTTTGGTACAGTTTTAGATTTTACAGTATCAGAAGAGTGACTATAATCTGGATTTTCCTAACAGTAATGCTCAATCTAGTTTGGCATTAGACTGTTTCTATATGTCTATCAAATATAGATGTGTATATATAGACAGATACATATCATGAGACATACTATATTAGAAATACCATATTATCACATATTATAAATAACAGGAGAAAAAGATATAGAAATTAAAATGATAAACTGATTTTCTGGCACACAGCAAATGTTCATTAAATTTGTTCTAGTGATAACAGCTGGCCATCATGAACTACATAGCAAGCCTCTGTCTCAAAAAAAGAGGGAAACAAAGAACAAAATACAATGGCTTTCATCTCTTTCCCGGTGCTTCTTTTCCACAGTGATTTTAGAATTTGTTAAGTCCTTGTAAAGTATTAGTAACTTCCACATGCATACAATTACCTCTGTTCCTCGGAGGTCCTTAGGGAAATAGGTATCTCCTGTCATTTGAACACTTAGGCCAAAATCCACCAAAACAGCTTTTGTGGACATGAAGACAATGTTGCTGGCTGTAATGACAGAGAAATTTTTAGCATAAAATTGTTTATGTGACTGCACATATGATGAATATACTATCTAAAGCAGGCAATCCCCAATTAAAGCAGGGCACAATTCTTTTCCTAGTGAGATAAGTGTATCATACTCAAAAGAGGATGAATTTGCTAAGAATGTTGGTGAAAATCATTTCTAATCTCTTCAGAGCCCGGCTAATACAGACATAAATGACTGTGACCAGTATTGATTCCCATGAAGCTGATTTATAAGTTCTAAGATACAAGCATACTATTATTGAGCCATTTTCTAAAACACAAAGTAGAATTTCCAATTTTCCCCAGTAAAGTTGTGCTTTTGTCTGAGTATAGCTACAAAAGACTTAATAGCAGTCACACTCCACTATCTTGTTACTCTATCTTAATTCTAGAAACCAGTCTCTAAAAGATTATGTTCCAAGTGACTTTCAAAATTAAAAAGCCACTTGTTCCTTAAAAATACATAATTATATGTTATGTGTTAAATTGTTTTCTTTTTACTTTTATTTTTTCATTCTGGGGGGCGGTGTTCAGGCTCGAACCCAGAGCCTCATGCATGCCAAGCGTAAGTTCTATCTCCAGCCCTACATTTCTATTTTAAATTCTTTACTGATAAGGGTACAACTGAATGTGACTATAACATCAGGAGCAACCTAGTGGCCTGATCCCAAGACATGTCTCAGGAGCACGGGGCAGGAGGTGAACAGGGTTCTCAGGGACCCTCTCTACCACAGAAGTTTTCCACTTTGAAGGGAGGAACCCACTCGCCTCCTGTCCACCGAATTTCTTCAAGCCCAAAAGGCACACGCCCCAAGCTACTCACGTTTAATGTCATGGTGGATCACTTTCTTGGAGTGCAGAAAGTCAAGTCCCTTCAGAACATGTTTTGTCACCCAAATAATTTCAAATTCTCTCATGGGTCCACAGCTTTCCAGTTTCTCCAGGACAGACCCTCCCTCTCCTGCTTCCATAAAGAGGTGGACGGTGTCTCCCCACAGGACGGCACCATAGAGCTCAGCGATGTTCTCATGCCGGAAGCACGCCTGTATTTCTACATCTGATGGCTTAAACTGATCTACAGGGATCTAGAACAGAAAAGTATAAGCAAGACCATAAACAAATTCAGGATAATTGAAAAAATACAGAATATAGGTCAACCCACAAACCAAAAGGCCAATAAAAACCACCCAGGACATCTTGACCTGCATGAAGTGGTGCCGCCACATTAAAATAACATTTACTTCAGATCTGCCTCTATCTCGGCTCTCAGTGTCAAACTCAAAACAAAAACATAAAAATATAAAAATAGGGAAGTACTATTTTAATTGAAAATATAGAAATCCAACCAGGATTTTAATTGTAAATACATCAGAAGATAATGTCACACCTCTTATACACATAATTTTTACAGCACCTAGATGCCAGTTGTGTATTTCAACCTGGGAGATAATCTCCAATCTTTGCACCCCTAGTTCATCTGCTAGCAGTATATTTAAAATAAGTGCTGTCCATATACCTATCCTGTGGGAAACCATCTGTTAATATGACAGAAACACCTCTTTTAGTGCAGACAGATTTGGACATGTCTCAAAAATATAGTGATAGGTTAAAAAAAAAACAAATGCAGAAGTTCACCTTTTATGTGCCCACTGAAATTTTAAACTGTGCACACATCTGGAATTTTCATAAAAGATACATAAGATTCCATTAGCAGCACTTGCCTCAAGGAAGGAATGTTATTAATAAACATATGTCCTTTTGAGCTTGAGGTTTTTAGTCATCCATGTATTTTTCTTTCTAAAAAATCATTTAAAATATTAAATACAAGTATTCAATGAAAACAAACTCATGAAGCTTTTTCTATTTTTTTGGATTAAAACTGATAAATAGGGCATTGTTTAATAAATTTAACACATTTTAATTTTCATAAAATATCTCCAGGGTTTTTTTTTTTTACAATTTCAACACGTACTTTCTAAACTGTTAAGCTTTGAGAACTTCCAGAATGGGAAAAGGGAACTTTCAGAATGGGGAAAATTTTTTTTTCCAGCTAATCCTTTCTTGGATAGAGAATGAGTATCTAGAACATACAAAAACTACAAAAAATTAGACCCTCCCCAAAATAAAGGCTTAAATAAATGAATAGACATTTCTCATAAGCAGTATAAATAGCCAATAAACACATACAAAAATGTTCAACTTCTCTGGCCACTAAAGAAATGCAAATTAAAACAGCAGTGAAATTCCATCTGATTCCAAAAGGAATAGTAATCATCAAGCAGTCAAATAATAACATACTAGTGATGCAAACACTGGGGGGGCAAAAAGGGAACCTGTGTTGGTGGCAATGTAAACTAGCACAGCCACTGCGGAAATCAGTATGGAGAGTCTTCAAAACACTAAAACTAAAAATTACTTGAGTTAGCAATTTCCCTCCCAGTATCTTCCTGAAAGAGTTTAAAGCAATCATATTGTAGTGGTATGTGGACACCTCTATTTACAGTAGAACAATTCATAGTAGCTAGATTTTAGATGTGGCCTCTATGTCTACCAAAAGATGCATGCATACAGTATTTGTGCCCATGGAGTACTACTCTGCCACAAAACGGATACGCTTGAGTCATCTGAAGAAAAATACATGCACCTTGAAATCATAATGTTACGTGAAATCCATCAGACACATAAGCGTGCACATCACATGATTTCTCTTATATGAGAAACTCAACGTGTAAATAAAGAACACGATAAAAGATAATAGGAAATAGGGAGACACACATTTTGCAAAAGGGAAGGAGACAAAGACATGGAGAGGCAGGAGAGAGAGGACAGATGGAGGTGATGGGAAAAGCATTAAGATGTGTTATATCGACACCCCATGAGGAACGTGATGGTGTGCTACAAGCTTGTACCAACCAAAAATAGTCTTTAAAAAAAAAAATACAAACTTTAAATGACTTGATATAAATCTATCTTTTTGGGTCTTCTCATAATAGATATTCTATATAGTATAAATAAGAGCTACTCTAGGAAATTTTCTTTCCTTGTCCTGTCTGTCTGTCTGTCTGTCTGTCTCTCTGCCTGTCTGTCTCTGTCTCTGTCTCTGTCTCTGTCTCTGTCTCTCTCTCTCTCTCTCTCTCTCTCTCTCTCTCTCTCTCTCTCTCTCGGATAGAACCCAAAGCAAGCTGTATGCCACTGTCCTAGACTCCCAGTCCAGCTCTAGTGCCTCATTATCAAAGTACACATGACAACATATTGTTTGACTTTTAATTAGGGTAAAAGAGATTGAAACATAATACACAGCAATTATTTTTTAAAAACCAAAGTAAGTGTTTGGGTCAGGGTGAAGTTCAGTGGTAATGCACTCGGCTAGCATATGTGGGGCCCTGGATTCAGTCCTCAGCACTATGACAAAAAACGTGAGTTTATGTTACTTTATCATACTTTATTTTTCTTTTTTCTTTTCTTTTCTTTCTTTTTTCAGAACCGGGGATTGAACTCAGGCCCGTGCGCTTGCCACGGAAACACTTATTATACTGAGCCATCTCCCTGGCCCCTTTTATCATACTTTAGATAAATGAATTAAAGCAAAACATGCATACTTAAAAATACAGAAATGAGAAGTGCAAAACTCAATGAATTATTGACCAAACATACATCTTCACATAAAAATATAGAACTCCACCAGCACCCTAGATGGCCCCTGTGCATCCTTTCCAGCCACTGCCTCCCATGGGTACCCCACTGTCTGGGCATCCGGCAGCATGGATTTGCTTTGCCTGATTTTATATAAATGGAATGTCAGCAGTACATCTCACTTGGTGTCTGGCAATTGGGCTCAATGTAATAGTTATAAGATACAGCCACACGGTTTTAGTTATAGATCACTGATTCTCTTTGCTGTGCAGTATTCCACAGTGTAAATATTCTACCTTTCAGCATCTAGGAAGTCTCCAGTTTGGAACACTTATAAACAATGCTAAGATGAATATGCTAGGATATGGCTTCAGCTTCCAGGGACTACATGGAAAAGGTTCTGGTGGGTTTACCTACAGGAATGGAACCTGTTGAGTTTAACTACAAGTCAAAGGAGATATGCATGCTTGCCCTGGAGATTCTACCACATGGTTTTTAAAAGAGAATCACCTCAGCAATTATTGTTTAATAGGAAGAGCAGGGTCTTCAAGTAATTAGAATATTCAGATTCAGACCTTTAAACTCGTTTCCTGGAGACGCCTTCCACTTACCACCTGTGTCTCTCAGTGTCCCCAGGGATGGGCCAAAGAGACTACAGGTAGGTTTGCTCTTGAACTGCAGGATAGCTCATCTGCCTGTCTTCCCTGGCAAGGGGTGATATGTTAGCCTAACTGTGGCAAAAGACCACCTTGAAATCTTTTAGGCACCTAGACAGAGACTTAGGGGCTGCACAGCCCCAGGTAGCAAGCAAATCCAGAAAAACAAATAGTATTCAGGATGGCAGAAGACCCTTGGATAAGATCTGGTCTAAGGGTAGGATTGCTGGGTCAATGCAAACAAACAAAAGCAGGAATGTCAAACACACTGCCTAAATGCACATACCAGTTTGCATGCCATTCTTTTCTTAGTCTTTATGTCTTGTGCTAAGTACACTTTTCCAAAGGCCCCGCGAGGAATGAAACCTGAGCCAATGTTCCTGTAAGTCAGCTTCCAAGGGATGAGAAGAACATCGGAGTCTATTTGGTAGCGGCCATTCTGAGGAGTGATTACCTGAAAGAAAACAAAAATGCAGGGGGTAAAATCTTTGGCAATGCAAGCCTTTTCTAAAGCCCACCAAATAGCAGCTAACTAGTTTTGGAAACATTCTGACACACAGGGTTCAGACTGAGAGGCACTGTGGGTAACCCGAATACTGTACAGAGGCTATATTTAGAATGTGAGCAAGCCAGAGAAAGCTTGTGAGAGACACGGGTGCCCGGTCAGACTTGATCATATTTCCATTTGCACTGACAAACAGAACGCTAAACGTTTTTATCTAAAAGATAATGAGAAGTAGGAAGATAGAGCTTCTTCACATGGGAAGGGAATCAAGAGATGAAGGAGTTAGGGAAAGATAGGAAAGAAGAATTGATATATGTTATACACGTACACACACCAGCCCTCCACCAGGAATGCATCACTATGTTCTAGAAACAAGTACTGCTACAAAATAAAAGCTGAAAGATAACTAATTGATCTAAGAAACATGATGATTGTGATCCATAGGCTAAAAATAAAGATTACAACTGTGCCTACTCATGGACTTGTTTCTATTAAAATGTGCTAACCTGTTCGTCTACATAGCTGTTACTCATCTATGACACATAGAGAGAGAACGTAGAAGTTAGTTGAGGATCATGGAGAAACACGGAAAACAAGGTGCAATGCCAGAGCAATGAGTTGACAATGCCACAAAAATAAAGTCAGGGAAGAATTATTTCTCATAAACTCACTCATTTACTATTTGCTGTGTGTCTCATGTGTGCCCAGCATGCAGTGTAGGACTAAGAAGGTAGGAACAAGCAGGGACACGTGACCCCTGTCCTCCGAGCTCCTGAGCAAACACTCAGGACCAGAGTTTGCAAAACTAGTTGATGCAAAGGAAAAGCAGATCAACACAATACATAAAGACAACACTTGTCAACTCACAGGAAAATAAAAACAGTAAAATCAACACTGCTAGTCAACTCAGAAACCAACAGACATGTTTCCCAATAGCACAGTGGTTTATAAAGATGTGTGTGTTGTTGGTCAAAGCTCTTTAAATTGGTGTTTAGTGCATCTGGGACACCCCAAAGTTAGGACTTTTCTTTGCACACCTGAAGCTACCCGCAGCGGCTCTGCAGCTGTCATCATGCCACAGAATGAATATATTGAATTATACCATAAATGCTATGGGCACTCCTTGGATTACCATGAGAAAAAGAGAAAGAAGGAAAGTCAAGAGGTTCATGAATGTGCAAAGAAGGCAAAAAGAATGACTGGCCTCAAAGCTAAGCTCTACCACAAACAGCATCATGCAGAGAAAATACAAATGAAGAATCATTTGTGTCTCTCATCAAGTCTTGATGAAAAGACTCCACAAGGAGCAGAACCTGCCTACCTGCTGGACAGAGAAGGACAGTCTCGTGCAAAAGTACTTTCCAACATGATTAAACAGGTGGGCAAATGGGAAGTTCCTCTGCCCAAAGTTTGTACCCAAGGAGAAACGGAAGTATTAAAAGTTATTCAAACTGGAAAGAGAAAAAAGAAGGCATGGAAGAGGATAGTTACTAAAGTCTGCTTTGTTGGAGATGGCTTTACAAGAAAACCACCTAAATATGAAGATTCATTAGGCCAATGGGCTTACGTTTTAAGAAGGCCCATGTAACACATCCTGAACTGAAAGCCACCTTTTGCCTGCCAATACTTGGTGTAAAAAAGAATCCTTCATCACCACTGTATACAACTTTTGGTGTCATTACCAAAGGAACAGTGATTGAGGAGAATGTGAGCAAGTTGGGCCTTGTGACACAGGAGGCAAGGTTATTTGGGGTAAATATGCCCAGGTGACCAACAGTACTGAAAATGATGGATGTATCAGTGCCATCTTACTAGTTTGACAGAAGTTTCATATAATAACTTCTTACCCTTATTGAAGACTACAGACCAATCAGGAAAGCCATAACTTGAATACTGCTGAACAACTCTCACGACTACATTCATCAAGAAAACTATTTATTGAATTGTAAAAAACATTAATATGGCCCCATTTTACAAATTGGTCTTTTCTTAGGGGTCTGCTAAGGGCTTACATGTTAGTGATACTGAACCATTTGAAAAAGTAAACGTAAGTCTTTGCATAAAGAGTGGGTACTCAGCAATACAGATCTCCTATGCCTAAAAGCCAATAGTATTTAAACTCGTGCAAACTTAATGTAGGGGTCTAGGGCTAGGAAATCCACTAAATCTATTCGACCTCATCATTTATCATTAGTCCTAAAACAGTGATGTTTAAGTTTATTCTCAATATAGTCTATTTATAATACTTTAAGAACGGCATTAGAAGTTTATTTAGATAATTCCAACTTAGTTGCACTGATGCCCTGAAAAGAAACTTTATTTTCAGTTACATAATATAAGAAGGTTATATGTTAGGTGTGCATCTCAGGTTTTGTGATCTGAATTAAATGGACATGATTTAAAAAAAAAATTTGGGTGTTTAAGTCTCTATCTTACTGTGCAGAAAACATATCAATGTTTAAAGGAAAAAATATAAATTGAAAGTCACAAAATTAATTTGGTAGTCTGGAAAACAGGAACTGGAATAGATGTAAAAGCATGTCTGAAGTATTCTTTCAGGGAAAAAGTCTGAAGAACCAGTTTCTCCTAAATGTAATTAGTTATCTCATGGCTTCAGGTGATAAACTCAGGAATTATAAAGCTATCAAAGGACATTAAGCTATTTCGAGAACAGAGGAAGCTTAAGGGGAATGTGGAAAACCCCAGACCTAACCCTGTGAAAAGAAAGAGCCCCTGATTGGGCAGCAGTTGCCCAGGACTCCTGCTCAGCACCACGAAGGCCCAGGCCGGGGATCCACAAGGCTCATTTAAAGCATCCCCTTCTAGTACTGCTAATTTTAGCACCACATCCCACAAATAATATGCTCGCTACTAGTCACCAATGAAGTAGTGAATCATGCCAATACTTAGAAATGCAGGGTCATTAAGCTTACAAATGAATTATTTACTGAGAACTTTTGCTATGCAGAATGGCATGCAGGTCCTGGAGGGAATACGAGTGAGACCACGGTCTGGTCTTGTTTCAAACAGGGCAGCAATGTCACTTCTGGTCACAGGAGGCCTGTGTGTGCAGCCTGCTGAGGGTCTGGCAAAGGCAGATGGAACCATGGGGGAGGGGGACCTCAACTACTCACTTGTTGGGTATTAACAGACCCAGTGTCACCAGGCCCTCCACAGAACCAATTCCAGGTTTAATGAGCTTCTTGAATTTCACTTTCACCCAAACTAGATTGGTTATAACTTAGTTTCTTCCTCTCATTCTGTTCAAGAGGAAGAAGGATCTAATGGCTGCCACATACTGAACGCTAACTGTAGGCCAGCCCTGTGCTCAGTCCTTCAGTACATTGCCTCACCAAGATCTACAAGGGCCCTGGGAGCTCAGTACTATTTTTGTCTCCATTTAACAGATGAGGAAACTGACTTTAAGTGTTGGGTAACTTACCAGGCAGCACTAGGGACAGGATTCAAGCTCTGGTCTGCCTAACTCCAAGGCCAGAGCTCCTAGTGTTTGTCTGAGAGCCTTTTGTGTTCCAGAGGCTGTAATTACAGCTGAGCTATGAGACAAACCCAGCTATTACAGCCTCCACTTACATGTTGCCAAGCATACCTTAGTGTTGTCCTGTACCAGTCCCTTCACCTCTAATTTACCTTCTCCTGGGTTCCAAGGACCCTGCTCTGAATGTGCAGAGTCCTCGGACAGCTCTGACAACAGGCCCTGACCTACTTTGGGATATGCAAGTCCTGACCAGCATGCAGTCTTGCAAAGGTCCTGGTCATTTCCCTGGTCAAGACCAAACCTAGCAGAATCTGAGACTGCTTTTCTTTTTCCCTTCTCTTACAAGGCCCCACTAAACAGACTCAGGGAACTGTGAACTACTTATTCCTGCCAATTCTTCAACTTTCTAAAATCATCTTCAAATGCACATATTACAAGCATGTTTTTCACTTCTTCACCTAGATCTCTATTATGTACCTGAATAACACTGGGCCCAGGAGCAACACTTAGAGAAGTTCTCAGATATCTTAGTAAAAATAAATTTCATAAGCGACCAGTATGATACAAATGTTCTGAAGCAGATATGATCTTGGGCTACAATGGCAGAGGTAGATTATTCTAGAACAAAGACATAGTCAGCCCTGTCCCATTTGATCACACACACAAAAAAAATCAATTACCCATGTTTAGGTTCTGGGCTGGACTGTGTTTTGGTTCTATGTGAGAAGAAAACTTTTCTTATAGTCAGAACTGGATAAATAGAGATGAGAGAATGCCCCAGTAAAGGGTGAGCCTCAAGTAACAGATTTTAAAGCACAGAGGAAAATGCTGTTACCACTACTGGAGGACAAAAAGAATGCTTAGGACTGTTGTCAAGTATCCCCCAAGGCTTCTCAGATGATTTCTAACCCTGAAGAACTGCATGCAGCCCCTCACAGCGTGAGTGCTTTGGGATCTTACAGCTTAGCATACACTCATCAAGAGTTAAGGGCATATATTTAAAAAAAAAAAAAAAAAGTATGGGGCTGGGGAGATGGCTCAGTGGAATAAGCGCTTCCCTGGCAAGCACAAGGGCCTGAGTTCAATCCCCAGTTCCGCAAAAA